CTTAAAGTTTTAAGACAGTTTCCCATTGTTATAAAAAAAGAATGTGAAAAAAAAAATTTTTTTATACCGTTGCAACCTAATTCAATAAAAAATGACCTTTTTATATTTTATTACATACGTACCGTTACATAATCATAATTACCCGATTCGCATAATAAAAACTATTTACGAAATTAATCTTAATAAAGTAATGATCTACCAATTAAATGGCAAAAAAATGGTTATGTGTGCGACAACAGCAGGGTTTGAACCTGCGCTCCCAATGGGAATCAGATTTCAAGTCTGACGCCTTAACCACTCGGCCATGTTGTCATATTAACACTAAATTAAGAAATTTTTTAAATTATATAAAGATTAAAAAATACTAAAACAAATATAATTAAAAAATAAAATATTTTTTGTTCGAAAACTTCAATTTATAATAAGTAAATAAAACTAATTTAAGATTACAAATATTACTTTTTCTTTTTACTTATCAAAAAGTATACTAAATATGAAATATGAAATTACAAAGTTTTAACATTTACGATAACGATACTTCATTATTCAACCATCAACACTTAATAATCCAAAAATTATGGCATTAAATATCGAAATTCCGATAAAAATCCTATTATTGGAGGATCCTGGAGCTGATCCAGAGGTAACATTTTTTCCACCACCTGTTTTACTCATTGTATTATTCTTCGTGTTATTATTTATATTATTATTCATATTATTCTTCGAATTACTCTTCATATTATTCGTACCTGTATTATTCATTTTCCTATTTTTCGTTGTCAAATTCTTATTACCTTCACACTTATAAGGTAATACTTTATTCCCTAAACATTCTGCAACCGTTTTAAATGCGTATCCTTTCTTTTCAAATTCTTCGACTATCTTTGGTACAATTTCGACACTATACCTATAAGTATCATGTTGTAACGTAATGAAACTATCAATTTTTGAATTTGATGGTAATAATTTTGAAAGAATGTTATTTAATATTCTATATCTTTGTTCTTCTGAGGTTAAGAGTTCGTATCTCCAATCGCCTGAATCCAAATTCCATTGCGTTACTGTTAAACCCAATGATTTCATTAGTTCACCACAATGTTCATTACATTCTCCAAATGGTGGTCTATTTAGAAAAAAAAAAAAAAAAGACACATTAATTATATAGACTTTTATATTTGTTATTAAATACTGTATTGTAAAAAGAAAAAAAAAGTTTTTTTTGATTATTTAGAATTCGTGATTTGATATTTAGATTTGAAATTTAAATTACCTCATATAATTCGGAACTACACCAACAACTTCATATATAGTATTATTCACTTGAATAATTTCATCTTTCTGTTGTTCGTACGACAATTCATTCAAATGTGGATGTGTATTTGTATGTAATCCTATTTGATGACCATCTCTAAAAATTCTTTTTAATACATCTGGGTATTCTTTAATTGTAATTCCTACTACAAAAAATGTTGCTTTTATTTTTTTCTTTGATAAATAATCAAGTAAAATATTGGTATATGGTCCTGGTCCATCATCAAATGTTAATGCGACAACTCCTGATTTAGAACAAGTGGTTATAAAACCTGTTCCACTTTCTTGAGATAAGATTAACATTGGTAATGTTAATAATTGATAAATAATAATTTTAACGAGAAAATAAAAAATTAATTTGATTTGCATCTTTTTTTTATTAATAATAATGATAATATTTGTTAATTTATTTTAAAAGAATTCGATCTTTTACTTCTATATATATTTATTTATTTCAAAATAGCTTTTTTTTTAACGTTATATCATATGATTTTTTTTTTAACTACTAGCTAAGTAGTTTATTTAATTATATATGCTTATTAATTTTTTTACAACATAAATAGTATATCATGTCGTAAATGTTTTGCTCATTTTCAGAAATTTAAGTTAATTATCATCAATATTTGTTATTTCACGTGTACTATATAATTTTTTTGTTTCGTAAATTTTTGTCGTATATATATATATATTTTTTGGTGAGAAGTCTTATCAAGTTTGAATTTTTTTTTTTTTTGATTATCTAAGATACATCTTTATCCATGTTTCGGTGTTATTTTTCAATTTATGCCTTAACATACAATAATTCATTCATAAATTTAAAATTAAATTATTATTTCTTAATAGGTATTGACAGTGCAAAAATTTTTGCATAACAGATGAAATTCTATTTTCATACAGGTTAATCACATCTCTTGAATGTATGTCGCGCAGTCAAAGTGATCTTGCTATCATGAGTTTTCCCATGATATTCTTTTAAACAGAATAATTTTCATGTAGTAAAACGGTATGGATGAACTTTTAGAATATTAAATAACGATATGTATATATTTTTAATAACACAACTCATGAACGATAATATATAGCTATTTGGCAGTCTGATAATAGTAATCTGATGGATAAAAACTAGTACAGTACATAAATTATTTTTAAAAGAGCAAGAACTTCTATGATTTTAATAAAGAAATGTTAAATAATAGATTCCTTTTTTCTTTTCTTTTTGTTGACTATCTTTATTACAACGAATTATTGTTATTTTTTATAATTCAAATCTCATTTTCA